CCCCAAAAAACGTTTCAACCAAGGGGATGTCTTGCACAAACAAGAACCACTTCAAGCAAATGCACCGTGCTGCGCGGGTGCACGTGAGCGGGTGTTCTTATTAGGTGGTAGGCGTGGATACCGTGCTGAGCTGGTGCACGTGAGCGGGTGTTCTTATTAGGTGGTAGGCGTGGATACCGTGCTGAGCGGGTGCACGTGAGCAGGTGTTCTTATTAGGTAGTAGGCGTGGATGCAGTGCTGAGTGGTAGGCGTGGATACCGTGCTGAGCGGGTGCACGTGAGCGGGTGTTCTTATTAGGTGGTAGGCGTGGATACCGTGCTGAGCGGGTGCATGTGAGCGGGTGTTCTTATTAGGTAGTAGGCGTGGATGCAGTGCTGAGCGGGTGCACGTGAGCGGGTGTTCTTATTAGGTGGTAGGCGTGGATACCGTGCTGAGCGGGTGCACGTGAGCGGGTGTTCTTATTAGGTGGTAGGCGTGGATACAGTGCTCAGAGGGTGCACGTGAGCGGGTGTTCTTATTAGGTGGTAGGCGTGGATGCAGTGCTGAGCGGGTGCACGTGAGCGGGTGTTATTATCTTCTTATTAGGTGGTAGGCGTGGATACCGTGCTGAGCGGGCGCAGGTGAGCGGGTGTTCTTATTAGGTAGTAGGCGTGGATGCAGTGCTGAGCGGGTGCACGTGAGCGGGTGTTCTTATTAGGTGGTAGGCGTGGTTGCAGTGCTGAGCGGGTGCACGTGAGCGGGTGTTCTTATTAGGTGGTAGGCGTGGATGCAGTGCTGAGCGGGTGCACGTGAGCGGGTGTTTCTATTAGGCGGTAGGCGTGGATACCGTGCTGAGCGGGTGCACGTGAGGCGTGGATGTGCTGAGCGGGTGCACGTGAGCGGGTGTTCTTATTAGGTGGTAGGCGTGGATACCGTGCTGAGCGGGTGCACGTGAGCGGGTGTTCTTATTAGGTAGTAGGCGTGGATGCAGTGCTGAGCGGGTGCACGTGAGCGGGTGTTCTTATTAGGTGGTAGGCGTGGATGCCGTGCTGAGCGGGTGCACGTGGGCGGGTGTTCTTATTAGGTGGTAGGCGTGGATACAGTGCTGAGCGGGTGCACGTGAGCGGGTGTTCTTATTAGGTGGTAGGCGTGGATACCGTGCTGAGCGGATGTCAGATCTGACACAGTTCACGTGAGCGTGCTTATCATGTGCTAGGCATGTGCGCCGTGCTGATGTGCAACTAACAGTATTTTGCGTAAGTGACGCAACAAAACACTGGTATTTGCGATGTTTTCCGCGCCCGAGATGAGAAAATGCTGGTATTTGCGATGTTTTCAGCGCGTGCTGCACGGGAGAAACGGGAAGCGCCAGAACGCCGCAAATACCGGTGTTTTTGCGTGCGAAGCTGAAAAACACTGCGATTTGCAGTAGTTTGTGACGATGCAGAGCGCGGCGTTATCTCGCTTCGGGAGGAACAACAACAACAACAACAACAACAACAACAACAACAACAACAACAACAACAACAACAACAACAACAACAACAACAACAACAACAACAACAACAACAACCAACAACCACAACCACAACCACAACCACAACCACAACCACAACCACAACCACAACAACAACAACAACAACAACAACAACAACAACAACAACAACAACAACAACAACAACAACAACAACAACAACAACAACAACAACAGCAGCAGCAGCAGCAGCAGCAGCAGCAGCAGCAGCAGCAGCAACATCGACAACGACAATGGAAAATGACAATGACAGCCACAACACAGCAGCAAGAGCTGCAAGAGCAACAGCAGCAACCACGACAACAGGCGAAAGCTCCTGCTGCTTCATCCTCTCGCTTTTTCAGGAGGAGTTTCACCAGGTCACCCATCGGCTCCAGCCTCAGAACTGCTGGTGCGTTATCTTTGAGGGCCAGGGGGGGGGCCGAGATACTTTGGCATGTGTGGCTGGGGCTGCTAACATGAACTTGTGGTTTACAGCGTTTGACAAAGAAAGAGACACCCTACAGCACAAACCTCCTTTCTGTCTGTGGTGCCAACGTGGGCCAGTTCGATCACTGCTTTGTCGCTTCAGGCGGAAATATCTTGGTGTCACCTTAAAATAGGCTACGCGTCAATTACATATTCATACGCGCCAAATTAGGTAGTTCTGCGTTTGGCTTCCTTTGAGGGTTCCCTCAAAAGAAGACAACCCCACATGATTGAACCCGTATTGACCTCCTTGCGGTTTCCCTTTGAAGATGTCCGCGGCCAGGTTGTTCAAACACATATCTTGCCCAACCTTCTTTAGCACCTACTGCTTAAACACATTCTCCTGGCGATTGCCCTTTGTGGGGGACAAAGTCTGGGTATTCGAACCGCCCTTTCTCCACCCTGCCCAGAAACTTGCCCATCGCCTGCCTGAGAAGCCCTACCTTTGGACCTACTGCTTGGCCGTCCCACTTATGTCCCTCTTAAGTGCCGAACATCTGGCAAATGAGGAACCCCGGATTGATAAACCCCTTGTTCAGAAAAATATGGGGGAGTGTCTCCGCGCTTAGTGGGAATTCTCACTTTTGGAGGAAACACCCTCCCCCGAATGAATGACTTTTAATCCGGGGTGAAGATTAATTAATTCCCTCTTAGGGATCCTGTGACTGAGGGGGGTCATTCAAGCGTCTGTTTCCATGATTCGAACAAGGTGAACCTTTGGGACTACAAATGAGCCAACGAATCATAAACTACCTGCTTGTTTTTAACTTGGATGCAGTCACAATGACAACCAATTAAGTATTGAAGGGGGTTTGCCCAGAAAAATGTAAATAATCCAATGTGTAGATATCCGCGGCTATTTCTGGTTCGCATTCTCCTCTCAAACTCACTTCCTGAGTGGCCAACGAAAGTCTGAACTTTCCATTTGCCACCAAAATGGTCCAAACCCAAAAAGTGACTTAAAGTCCGAAACGTAACTCGGGAAGTGAGGAAAACGACTCAGGCGACTCGGTTTTGACTGCGGCGATCCCTCCTTGATGCGATCGATTCCAAACCTCAGAGGCTCCAGCTCAGAATCCTCGATGAGGTCAAACTCCTTGACGAAGTAAACAAAGTGCTTAAAGGAGTGGTTCCTCGGCACAAGCCCAAGTGCCAAGCCCGGTTTCTAACCATGAAAAAAACAGATCAAAGGATATTTGGACGCCGTTTTGGAGCCACCAGTATCTAGGAGGTACTTCACCTCCATTTATCCAACAAGCATCCTTTACGCATGCTTGGAACCTTAGAGCCTTAGGGAGCCACCATGCCAGCTGCATGCTGCGCGGAATTTGGTCAGGACTGCGTCCTCTAAAGATGCATTCTGGAAGGAACTGGCTGCCATAACCAATGGCTTGTCTCACTGAGTGGATGGCTCCAACAAAGTCCAAACTTCTTGTTTTCCACGAAAATAGTATATTTGTGGGCTCCCTTGTGCTTCGGCTTGTGGGGGCTGTATCCTCCAAGGCCATTCACACTGAGGAGACTGGGGAGTACGCAAGTGCGCATCTGCATCGCTGTCCACCATGGCCTGAAACAAGGGGGCGATACAGTGGAGGCTGTGAATATTGCAAGGAAACCAAGGAAAATCACTTGGCAAAGACCCCCAGTTTCTGGAGGTGCTTGCTTTTGGTCGGCGCGCCTTGAAGTGGGAGTGAAACACATGAGCATAGATCCTGAAGAGGCGCTTGTAGATAACCTTGATCCCCTGCGCGGCGGGAAGCCGTAAAACCTGGAATCAATGCTCGACAACGACGCCCCTTGCCGAAGAATGAAATATAATGAACAACATCAGCCTCGAAACCCCAAAAGAAGTCAGGCATTGGCTAAGAAAGGGAAATCTAAAGCTGATTTGCCCTGTGATGCCTGATCTAGACATCAGACACATATGCAAGAGCGATTCTGAAGATAATGCTTGGGAATATAGTCCCTGCCTTCTTGAAGTTTGGCAAGAACGGCTGTCCTGGCTGTACAGGCAGGAAGGTCCTCCAGCCGGGAATGAGGGCACGAGCCCACGGCAATAACAGGCAACCGACCCCAATAGCCCAAAAGTTAAGACTTGGCCTGCTTTTGCCGTAAGGAAAAGCTTTGACATGGCCTGGGGTGGTTTGTGGGGGTCCCTGACAAGTTGCAGCTTGAGGGTACCCCATTTTGTTGCCTTTCATCGAAGCCAAACGGAAACCATCTGCTTTTGGGGCTTCCCTATTTTGCGACACCAATAAAATCTCAAACCCCCCCAAACCCTCCGAGTGAAGAGAGCAAGGCAGAGCTGATTGAGGGTGCGGCTCATCTGCAAGCTGCGACTCAACCTGATGAAGACAGGAGAGGTCAGGGTTCTAAAAAAAAACTCATCAACAACATGTCCGTGAGACAAACCCGATGGTGTCGACGGGCATTGCTTGCTAAATGCATTTAGCTGCAGCTTGCTACCAGAGTTCTATGGATGGCTCTGACCTTCCTGAAAGCCAGCATGCCTTTCAATACGTTGCAATAAAATGGGCGTCCCTTCTTCCCCTATTTGGTTGGTTTAAACGGGACGCCATAAGGAACACCACTTGGCATTCTCTCCTTCTTTTTTTTGGGAGGGGGGGGGGGGGAAGGGGGACCCTCAGAAAAAAGACCCGCCCAACGCATCCGGCCAACATAACGTGAAGGGCGCCGGACGGGGAGCCTCTCCGCCTCCCCCATTCGAGGAACAAATATGATATTAGCCAATTTGGGGTCAACATGCGGTCTAGAAAACGTATTCTGGCTACAATACAAAGCTGCCATATCTAGCCCGAGTTGGCCCTTTTTTGGAACATGAGTTCTCCAATGGGTGGTTTGGATTGGTGGTTTGTTGGTTAAGGTGGAATTTCCCATTCATTTACCCTGTACGAGAACCAGGGGCTCAAATCCAAATCCAAGCCAATTAGAGGGAAGCTGACAATGCACATATTCAGCGCCGATCCCAAAGCGCTGAGGCTCCCGAAAGCCGAGGCCCCGACCCAAACCAACAACTTCTCCATGTACTTTGGCGCTGACAGTTGCACGGGCGTCTGGCGAGCGAGGAGCCGCAAGGACCAACCAGGAGAAAAAACACATGCCAAGAACTTGAGGGAGCCTCCCCCCCCCAAAAAAAAAAACCTTCATCGTCAAGGCCTCTTGTCCTAGGCCCCAAATGCTTGGTTCCGTGCAAAGCAAAATTGAGGGGGGGGGGGCTTGCAAGGTGCCCCATGCAACGCTGAAGTCGTCTCACCTTGACTTTGTCACCGTCGGCCCACTGCCATCCAAAACTCCCTGCAGTCATTGCAGGGCAAGTGGACTCCGTGCAGAGGTCCTGGCACCAATCGCGCTGAAGGTGTCTTGCATTTGGGTGTGCTTTTTGTTTAGAGAACCCACGTGTCGGTTGGTTAACCACATTTGTTCAATTTTGGGGGAGTCCCCTAAATACACACACACACACCCATCTAGCACCCGTTGGTTTGACACGCCGTCGTCTGCATGTAAACTTGCATCTGCAACAAACACATCAAGCTTGCAAGCTTGCGAACCCCAAATCAGGGACTTGAGTTTTGGAGCCTTCGGTGGCCAATTGGTATCGTGATTTATGGTCCAATCAGTAGGGTGTTCCAACGACACCTCGCCTAATGGAAGGGCCTGGCTGAAATAAGCCCTGGTTGCATGCGCACCTCAACCGGAGCTTGGTTTGAACATGGATGTGTCTTTGTTGAGCCTCAGTGCCGTTTTTGATGCTTTTAAACGGCATGGCAATAGGAAACCGAAGCCAATTATTGGGCCCAACCTCCAAAAAGTGGTTCTAAAGGAAAACCAAAAGGAAGCCCCTGCCATAAACGGCAGGGGTCCCGCCCCTTTAAAATGAGGTTGACCCACAAAACCAAATTTGTGGCGGGACCCGTCGAGTCGACACGGCAACACGTCAAGTCTCCGCAATGGCGCCCACCAGCAAGTTCAACCTCGCGGCTTCCGAGTCAGGTTCGGGGTGTTTCACCCCCATGGGTGTGGGTACCTCTTTGTGGTTTTGTGAGGAAGCCAAAAGGACAACATGCCCTTTTGGAGATCCCCCTAAAAAAAGACACCCCCATGCCAGGGCTCAAATCCAAGTCCAAACTTGACCCTCTTGAGCCGCAAGGGTACTAGCCAGTTTGTTGGTTCCCTGGTCCGGGAGCGTCAGAGGAAAGAAAACATAAAGCACGGATGGGGGGCTCCAAAGAAGCAAAACACAGGAGGGTCTTCATCCTCCATAACGCTCCATAAGCTGCTCCAGAAACAGGGTCCGCGCCCGTCCTTCAGGGAGGGTCAGAGCTGGGTCGTCCATATTCGCCCATAAAGCAATGCTAAGGCCGAGGCTCATTGAACAAATCCACAGTGTTGAATGCCTAGGCATCGTGCGATGACGAACCAGCCCATTTGGGTGTTCTTGCCTCTTGGAACCTCGCTTGGGGGACTTGTAATGTAGACCCAGGACTAATAAATTATTAAACCCGTCCCATTATTGAGGGGGTGTTCCCTCCGAAAGTGATGAATCCCCACTATAAGGGGACACCCCCTTATTAATCAACAGGGGTAAATTAATCCGGGGTTAACAGTAAGTTGGTTACAATCCTAGTCACTCGCTAACTTGGCCAAACATGAGGCGCCCCTCAGGCCAGCACCAACCACTCTTCCTCACTGCATCCTGCTGGTAGCCGCACCTGCGAGCAACAGCATTCCATGACCTGCCCTAACAGGGAGATTGCCCATGGGTGCTCGGCGCACTTCCTGTAGATGTTCGCCAGTTGGAGCTTCCGAAACCGATGTGACATAACTACAAAGGGATAAAGGACATCAACCAAGGGGGACCGTCAGAAACGGATCGCAGAGGGCAAGCGAGCCACCTTTCCAATAGTTCAGTGCCTGAGCCATGGGAAGGCCACTATTTCTTTTGATGGTCCGCCTATGGCTCGCCTTGCCGACTGATCAGACTTTTCTTGCGCTTTGCGCATCCGGGCCTGCGCTGCCAAGTCCATACTGCCTAATGTTCGCTGCCGGGCGGTGATGAGGTCTGCATAACCTCGGCATCTCTCTCTTCCAACATATGCAAGCCCCCCCCCCCCCGGCCCACCGCCCCTCCCCCCCACCCAAAAAAGAAAAACATGTCCCACGGTTAAGGCCGTGTTTGGCATTCTATGTGGGTCCTCCTTTCATATCCTCCTCCCCCAACAGTTCAAAACAGTCGTACTGACCGTGTTGAGTGGAAATTTGAGGCTTTGGGTTGGACTTGGTCCTGCAAAATCTTGGTTTGGCATTTTCAGTACTATATAAATCTAATGCTGCCAACGCTGAATCCCAGACTCCCAGCACTTATTTTAGTATTGCCTGTAGTTTTGCCTGGGTGTTCTTTGGGAACAAACCCTCCCTTACAGGGCCCCGCCCCCAAACTGTCACACACTCCTGCATGAGAAAAAAAAAAAAACATCATACTAGAGGCCAACATTAAGGCTTCCTGAAAGACCAACCTGGCAGCGATGTCAACCATCTCAGCGTAAAACAGCTCAACTCAACTGTCAGGCCTCAGATTCTCAGACCCTGGGCTTCCATTGCCTCCCAAGAGGAAAACAGGGTGCCTCAGTGTGATAAGCTCTGGATGGATACCCCAAGCCCCCCGCGAGATTCAGCTGGAAGCTTTCTCGGTGGCAAGAGCGTTGCATTTTTCCTGGCCGCGGGGCTCTGACGCCCACAAAGACCCAACCAAAATGAAACAAACAACAAGGACAAACAAACCACATGCGGCGTGCTGTCCACAGCACACCTGCTTTACACAAATCACCCCCAATTCTGCAGCAACCCTGGCAGTGTATAAAAGTGACGCCCAACTGGGCAATAGAAAGCTAGACATTGAGCTGACCAATGCCATGGTTCTACCACAGGGGCTATGACTTCACGAAAGGACGCAATAGCACAGAGGCCTCCCAACTATTTTTGGGTCGTTTAAAGTGGGAGTCCCTGGTGACTTCCTGGTGGACCGACGAAGCCACTAGCACTCTTTCACACATACCAAGTCTTGATTTTGATCGTCTCTGCACCACTCACCTATCTTCCCGCCACGTGCCGCCAACCTTAGGGAGAGAGCAACCCGCACGAGAGCGGTCTGATGGGAACGAATGATGAAAAACCCACAACTGCATCAAGGGCCCTTTGAGCCTACTAAGCGCAAACCACGCGCTCTTGCTAGCTTGGGTTGGGACAAGGCTGAGCACTGTGATATCATGGCAAGTTCCATCGAATTAAGCCCAGCGCTGGCGAGTATCCTCCCGCGCCAGCCTGCACAGGCTGGATGGCTCAAATGGAAGCAAGCAGCACATGTGCCATGGTCCGACACCGCCTTGTGGGGATCACGGCCTTTGAAGGGGTCCATAACCATCCTTATATATTAACTGTCTTTTTCCGTAGCACGCTTGGACATACTTTGTTATACTTTGTTTATATGCACACTTTGCGGTTGCCAGGCTCCACATCAGGGATGGTTCCCTGAATAACTTGCTAAACTCATGACCAACGATAGCGACATCTCGTATTTCGCTGCACCAAGTACTGAACAGATCCAACATGTGTCAAACTCGCATGGGGCAGGCGTGGCAAAGCGTATTCGACCCGCGACAGGGGCTTCTGCGTGCCACACCCGGGCCTCCATGCGGTTTCAAACAACAGCGGGTGGTCGTTGAAAACCTAAAATCGTCTCGGCCGCTTGAGCCGGTGAATTCCAAGCGAAATCGCGCTCTGACAGGCCAAGTGGTTGCGCAAAGGCTCTGAGGAAACGCTTCGCTCTTTGGCTTTCCTGTCTGTGCCATGTGTATGATTCACTTTGCGGTAGGGTCTTTGCGGACTTGCTTGACGTTGTTCCTGCCCTTGAAACTGGCCCATCAAGAAACCAAACGACATATGCCGTCGTCAAGCACCACAACACATCCGCACGCAAGCTAAGTTCACAAGTCTGCACACATTATATCCGAATAAGTAAGGCGTCTCCTGGAGACAACGGAGCTCTTGTGCCCAGGGGCCCCCTTCGGGAAATGGTATTCGCCTCGGCCCCAAAGGGGCCAAGGGCGCTCAGATCTCTTCTCCAAAGAGAATCTTCGCTTTTCCCCTCCCCCAACCCCCTCCCCGACCAAAATTTTGCCGGGCCGCCCCCCCCAACCCATGTCGGCTGGACCCAAAATCCTGTCCGGCGGGCCTTGAAATTTTCGGGGTTCGTCGGCGTCCAGCTCCATGGGTCCATTTTTGTCGAAAATGTGCTGACAATCACGAAAAAATTGCTTTTTTGTCCTGAAAAGCATGACCTCCTGGTGGCCAGGCCTGCCTGACGTGTCTGAGACTAGGCTCAGCCCAACCAGCCCAGGCCCCGGCACATCTCTAGGCCGGCCCCAAGGTCAGGTTTGTCTGTCGTCTGAAACTGGCCTCAGGCCAACAACCAGTCTCACGTCACGTGTCTGAAACTGGTCTCAAGCTATGCCAGCCACCAAGCCCGTCTGACGTGGCCCAGCCCCTCAGTCCGGCTGCCCAAGCAACTCAGCCCAGGCTGGCCAGGCCTTGACCTCCTGCTCGCGTCTGGCCCCAAATCATCCAGCCCCGTCTCAAAGTATGCCAGCCTGAGACTACTAGCCTCAGGCCCAGTCCCTCAGCCCGCCTGCTGGCGTGTCTTACGTGTCTGCGACTGGCCTCAGGCCCAGCCCAGCCAACTCGCCACCCAGCCTCAGGCCCAAGTGTGTGTGTGAAACAGGCCTTGCCATCCAGCAACCCGCCCAAGCACAGCTCAGCCCAGCCCGCCCAGCGGTCCGGCTGCCCGGCAGCCAGCAACCCACCCATGGCTTCGCAGCCTCGTGGCTGAGACTAGCTTCAGGCCCAGCCCAAAGCCTGCCCAGCCCAGGCCCCAGCGCATCTCAGAGCATGCCAGCCACTACTGGCCCCCAACTCCCAGCCCACCAGCAGGCTCAGCCCAGTGTGCCAAGGTCAGGTTTGTCTAACGTGTCTGAGACTGGCCTCAGGCCAACGACCAGTCTCACGTGTCTGAGACTGGTCTCAAGCTATGCCAGCTACTCAGCAGCCCAGGCTGACCAGGCTTCTTCGGCGCAGACTGGTCTCAAGGTATGCCAGCCTGAGACTAGCCTCAGGCCCAGTCCCTCAGCCCGTCTGCTGGCGTGTCTTACGTGTCTGCGACTGGCCTCAGGCCCAGCCTAGCCAGCAACTCGCTACCCAGCCTCAGCACATCCAGCGACCCGCCCAAGCACAGCTCAGCCCAGCCAGCCGAAGTTCCAGGCGCAACCAACACCATAATCCAGCTGCCCAGCACCACCCATGGCTTCGCAGCCTCGTGGCTGAGACTAGCTTCAGGCCCAGCCCAACCAGCAACCCGCCTAAGCCAACCCCACCCAAGCCCACCCGGTTTGAGACTCGCAGGCCTCAGCCTATCTAGCGCCGAGACTGGGCCTCACCAGCCTGGGCTCAACTAGCGTCTAGCCCAGCCCCAGTCCGCCTGCTGGCCAGGCCTGTCTGACGTGTCTAGCCCAGCCCCCTCAGTGCGGCTGCCCAGCCCGCAGCTCAACCAACAACCCACGCAAGCAAGGTCCAGCCAAGCTGCCCGAGACTAGCTTCAGGCCCAGCGCAGGCTTATCTGATGTTGTCTGAGACTAGCCTGTGGCCCAGCCCAACCAGGCGAGGCCGGCTTGTCTGACTTGTCTGGAGCCAGCTTCAGGTATTCGGACCTTCCCAACACTGGATTTCGGTGTTCCTGACCCTTCCCTCAAACTAGGCTGGGCCGAGGCGGGCAACGCGAAGCGTTTACAATTAAAAACAAGACGCAGACGAAAGCCAATCATATGAGGCGCTTGTTGCCCATCATCAACGGTGCGCAGCCAACTTCAAAATGTATCAGTTCATTTTGCTGCCTTGAAGCGCACTTTTCCGACTTGGGCTCTGCACTTTTGCTGCTACTCAAGTGATTCTTATTGACGTCAGACAGGCAAAAGAGAATGGGCACAAGCATAACAAGCATCAAGCATTTCAAACAAACGGCTAAAGTGACGGCCAAGAGCACATGGCCATGTTGCTTGGCACACTGACCCAAGAGCAAAAAACAATGTTGATGGTTTGATGCGTAGCTTATGTCCTTAGCGTGCCCATCAGCTCGCTCAGCTTTAGAGACCAAGTTCCGGGGCTCTCACCCAGCGCCTCAAGCAGCGGAATGCAGGTCTCACCGTCCCTTTCCCGGATGCAAAACTGAAGATCTGGCTCATCTCTGTGATCAAGCAGCCCATCATCACCAGCCAGGCGCTTTAGTCCAGCGGCAAGAAAATTTCCGAGAGAGTTGTCAGTCCAGAAAACACCTTTGTAGTCATTCATGACCGAGGCATCTGGGAAAATACCAAGTGCCACACCCAGGGCATGCTGGGCAACATCGATGTCTAGCCAACCACTTTTCATTTGAGACCGCAGAACGCGCAGGCGTCTGCCAGGAACAACGACGAAGTTCAAGGCTGCCATGCTGAGATCTAAGCCCAAGTTTTGCAACAAGCAGTCATCTTGCAGCTCCGTAGGCCCCTGGAAGATCATGATGTCCACATCATCATAAGATTGGCCCAACCGACCCCCAAGCAGCGACTTCATGTGGCTCACCGTGTTTGAGGGGAGCACCTGAAGTGTGTGCACCTCCCCGCTCGGAGATGTCAAAGATGCGGAGACGGGCGTCGCTGGCGGGGCTGCCATCGCTGCCGATAGCGTCGCTGGGCGCTGGTCGCCAAATGTGTCTCCTTGGTCGCTAAACTTTAGGCTTATCGTTTGCTGATCGTTAATGCCTTGAACCAAATAGAGCTCTGTGAGTTGATGTCTGCCGGATGATTTTGCACACAGCTTATCTTTTTCACTGCCGCTTAAGCCAAGAACTTAACTTCAGGGTGCCAGAGCCCGAAGCTGCAAACTCGGCGGTCGCAACAACAGCAACGTCAACGCTAACAATCCCTTTTCGCACTATTGCGGGAGATTGTATTGCTAGTACGCAAATGAAAATGCAAAAGTGAAAAAACACCCAGGACAACCTCGTAGCAAAGTTTCACTATTTTAGCAAGTGTGCAGTACTGAAGTTATGGTGGAGAGGCCGGTGTAGTATTTTCAAGCACGATGACCTCACCACAAGAGAGAGCACTGATTTTTGAGGTTATCGAAGGGGGCTCACACACCCTTGCGAGTTTGAGGTTTGAGGTGGCACTTGGAGCGATAGGTTTCTGTTGCCGCAAGTGGGAGAAGATGCACTGGGCGCTGGTGGCAGCAAGCTGCGTCTGCGGCCGTAGATTTGCAACACGGCCGTGCGCACAGTGACAGCCTTGATGCAGCATCTGCTGCTATGCTGCCAGTGTGCCCGAAGTTGAGTTCTGAGATGTTTTGAGCCATCATTATTTCCAGGTGACTGAGGCGCTTGCGCGTGCGCTGGCACAGAAATGCTTGGCATCCTTGCTGCAAGCAGAACTAGACCCAAAGGCAACCGGCGTGCAGCCCGACGGCCGCAAGCTTGCGAAGGTGGCACAACGCCTCCGATCTGCCTTTTTCGCCGCTGGCAAGTTGTGATGGCCCGGCAAATGGGTGGACCCCGAAGCCATGGACTTTGTCCGGCAGCTCCGTCCCCGATCAGCTGCGCAGTGTGCCGGATGGAGCATGCGTGAAGCGATGATGTTTTGCATATAGGGCCTATGCCGCTAGTGACACTATGGGACCACAGGTTAGGCCGTGAAAGAGACAACTGCCCTCTTTAGAAGACAGCTTGTGAGGCATTGAAGGCGCGCAGCGGAGACGCACAAGAAAAAACATATTATATCTCGATATTACTTGCTCAGAGGCTCTGCACGGCACAGAGCGGCTGGGCGGTTGGGAGCTACCGCGGTCCGTGCGCAATGAAATCGGAGAACAACCAACTCTGATGATGGAGCATGCACGTTGATCATTGACACCATTTCTCCTCACATAATGCCCTGGGCATCATTGTGCATGCTGCTGAAAAACTGACTCGCTCCAAGCGCGTTGAGCAAAAGTTCCCCACCCGTCTTCCCCCGGCAGTTGGTGACTGCCACCTTTTGCGGTGCAGGCGTTGACTCGGGACCCAGGGCTGAACACACCAATCCCACATGTGGACGCGTGGGCTACCGTCAACCGAAAAAAACAAGTACACCAGCATAGACCCCAGATAGCAATGATTGCACACCAGCACCTCCAACAGCACCCCCCGAAGAGCGCACCTCCAACAGCACTCCAAACAGCATCCCAAAACAGCACCTGCAGCAGCATGCCCCCTGCACCCTGCCGTCAATCTCGCAAAAATGCGCCTGCACCGTCACCCTAAGAGCACCCCAAACAGCACCCCCCCCAAACACCCAGCCGCACCCCAAACTGCATCCACCTGCACCAGCACCCCAAGCCCCAAGCTGCATGCCCCCTTGCACCCTACCGTCAAGATGCAAAAATGTGCCTGCACCGTCACCTGCATGCCCGATGGCACCCGGGCGTCAATATCGCAAATTGCGCCCGCACCGTCACCAGCACCTCAAACAGCTCCCCAAACGCATCCCAAAACACCACCAGCACCAGCACCCCAAACTGCATGCCCCCGTGCACGCTACCGTCAAGATGCAAAAACACGCGTGCACCGTCACCCCTAAAACAGCACCTGCACCAGCACCCCCAAACTGCATGCCCCTAAACAGCACCCCAATCTGCAAAAACCAGCACCCCAAACTGCACGCCCCTTAGCACCAGCCCATCAATCTCGCAAACACTTTAATAGAAGTTAGACCCCCTATAGCTTTCAGCTATCTGGGGAAATAACGAATTGGTCCCGGGGCGCCCTCGTACCGATGTTGCAGGATCCAGATGCCTGCACTATCCACCCTGGTTGTGGGGTAAGCACAGTTGGCCGGCGCAAGACAGTTGGCCGGCGCAAGGATGAGCGGCCGGCTGCGCAAGGAGGCACGGGCAGGAGGCGAAGGGGAGCGTGGGCTCCTTGTTCTTGACCTCGCTGCGCTTCTGGCTGCAGCCCGCCCTGGGCAGTGTTCTGGATCTCTGGCGCCTTGCCGACGCCTTCGGTACGGAGGCAGGCTGATGCCTTTCCGCTGGTGATCTCCTCCTTGATGAGGATCTCCCCACAGCTTCGTACCTCCTCCCGCCCGACCTTGACGCTGAGAGGAGGGCCAACGGGGCGGATTGTCAGATGAGGCTCTTGGTGGAGCAGCCGCCGATGCGGCCACACGGATGAAGGCCCTGAAGCAGTTTAAGCAGCAGATCATGCTGCCTGCGTTGCTAAGTTGGGCGCCCAAGCGCTTGCAGTTGCCTCCGACTCTGCTTTTGCCAGGCCTGCACCTGAGATACTACCAGCTCTTCGACGAAGCGGCAGCCGGCAACGACATCGCTGACCGGCGGGGCCGCTCCGTCAAGGTTGTGGGCACCGGCGCCCGGCAAGAGAAGGGGTGCAGCGAGACAGGATCTCCCAGGAGTTCCACACAAAGGACACGCGCATGGGAACAACGCATGTTGATCAAGCAGTGAACATCCGTGCGCAATTTGTTGGGAGCCGCTTGTGGCGCACTTTGGGATGAACTCGCCCACCTTTGCCATTGATGAGTCGGATCGGGTAGACGAGGCATGGGCTACCGCTTTTTCAAATCACGACTAACCTGCAAAAGGCGCGCAGCCCCGACCTGCAGGGAACTCGCGCAGAGTTTCTTCATTACATTGCGCTGCACTACATTACGTGACATTACATTAGATTGCATTACAATGTCCCTGACACGTGTGGAAGGCTGCGCGAGCGCAACCAGCCAACCGAGAAAACAGGGGGGCACCCTCCACGATGGTCGACCGGGAGGTTCATGTCCGCGAGCCGAGACTTGACAGCAACTCGAGCGCCCGCCTCATGGCAGACCTGAGCTGCCGCGGTCTCAAGGAGACAACTGCGGCCCCGCAGCAATCCAGCCCGAGCGCACGCTGCGCGGTGGAGGAGTCTGGAGCTGCCCAGATCCACCGCGCGGAACAAGTGCGAAGGGACTGACAAGCAAGCAAGTGGCAAACCGGCCAAGCTAAATGTGCAGCTGTGAGGACAAGCTGCCCTCCACAACGCCACAGCAGTGGTGGCCTTGCTGCCAGCCCCGGGCAGCTCAGGGGCTAGGGTTCAAGGGACCAGCGAAGCGCCATGGGACAGCTTTTCACCCAACCAAAGCAAACGCGCAACGTGGAGAATTTGTTTGGCGGGATCGCCCGGCAACTCGCGTTTCGATAGGATTGCATTCATGTCAACATGGACAACAGTGTGTAGCGTCGAGATCTGCATCGCTCACTTTTGGAATTTTCTCCCAGACGGGGCCTACGGCCGCCAGCTGCGCAAGGGCAAAAGGATGCAAAAGGCCCGGCCCGGAGGCGCCAGCCAGCCCGAGGAAGTCAACGAGCTCAAGCTCTCCCTACGCAACCGGCTGCGCTGGGGAGAGCCACCGTTCGCCGAGCAAAGTGGAGGCGAGGGCGCGCTGCAGAGCGGTGCTGGGCAGCTCCCACCACTGACGGCGCCAGCTGACAGCTGCCGCCCGGCGAAGGGCGGGTGGCGCGCGGAGCGACCGGAGGCGCACCAAGCGGCAGATCATGCTGTGCACCTCGAACCCCACTGGCCTGCGAGGCGCGCTTCCTTGCGGCGCCGGCAGGTTGCCGGAAAGCGACCTGAGTGCCAAGATGGTGAGCCAAATGGCCCATGAAGCACATCATTCGAAACAAACATGAACAAGTACATGCGTCGCAAAAAATGCCTCTCGGCACAGCGACAAATTCGTGCCAAGTGGGGGGACGCCACACGGGTGGGGAGGTGGGGTGGGGCAGCCACAGGCAAAGCAGGGAGCTGACGCCGGAAAACAGGCAAGCTATAGAGGAAGATGCGCGACACGAAAAGAGAGAGAACGGGCAAAGGGCCGCGTTGCAACAAGCAGTCCAGGAAGGCCGTGTCATGAGCAACCGCGAAATCAGCGTTGAGCCAGGCTGGAAAAACCGAATGATTTTTTCTCTTCCCCCACTGGAAAGCCAGAGCGGCCCGATTTCCTACCGAGCGTCAGCGAGCAGGTCGCTCACCGGCAGCTCTGCGTCACACATCGCCCCCGAACAGAGGGAGCTGCAGCAGGCAGGCGGCCAGCACTCGCGGTGCACATGCGCACGCACAGCAGCTCCACGCAGCAGTTCGAAGACATGGCGCGGCGTGACGTGGCGTGCGCGGGCACGCAAAAGCACGTTCTCGGCCACGCGGGCCCAGCTTCGCGACAGACTTAATGCAGCGGTGCGCTGGGGAAGCTTGTGCCGGGATTTTTTTGACTTATTCCAGGGTTCCTGCAAGAGTGTAGTCCAACAAAAATGGTCCCAGTTCGATCTGTCCGGCAAAAACGGGCCGCTTGTTTGGAATACGCCCTTGACAAAAAAAACAGCAGGGAGCTCTCAGTTCGTTCCGTAACACGCCAGCGCGCGGGCAGAGTGCCCAGTGCACTCGGGCCACGGACCTAGCCCTGGACAAGCCTCGACAGCAGGGATGGCTGCCATTGGAAGAACCACAACACCGCTATCTGCACGGAGCGCCTGGCAAGCGGCCGTGGAGACAAACCGCGACCACAGTGCTGTCCGTGGATGGGGTGGGCGCCTTCGACCACGCCGCTCCGCGGCCGTACGTGCGGCAGTTTTATGGCCAAGCTTCGCAGAACCTCGGGTTCGACCAAGACGGCGCGGCGCACGACGTCGAA